GGTCCTTATCCCCAGCCAGATCAATCCAATCCATACCATCCCATCCTGTCTCTCTAAGATCCATTCTAATATTGTCCACCCACCTACGCCTTGGTCTTCCCTGTGGTTTCTTTACTTCTGGCTTTCCCACCAATATCCTATATGCATTCCTCGTCTCCCCCATTCGTGCTACATGACCTGCCCACCTCATCCTCCTTGACCTGTTCATTCTAATTATACTTGGAGAAGAGTACAAGTTATGAAGCTCCTCATTATGCAGTTTTCTCGAAACTCCTGTCACTTCATCTCTCTTCGGTCCAAATATTCTCCCCAACAATATTATTATATATATTTATGTATAAATATACCTTTCTTTCCGGAACATTTCAAGTTATTGAGATTAGTCATTTCTGAAGAAGATTGTTTTTAATTGTTTTCCATTGAAATATATACTAGCTTCATACTAGTGCTTGAAATAATGTTTGCTCTTCTGTTGTTATGTATGTTTGCAGTGCTGATTGGTTAATTTAAATTTGTTACGTAACATGCTGACAGTATCGAGACTATATATTGTCGATTATTAATGGATATGGGGCAGCTGATGGCATGAGAATTGTCAATGTAAAGCGAAATCCCACATAACTTCGCTTGGGATTGAAAGCCGGTTGCTATAATGGAAATCCGGCGACTAACTGTCTGAGCTAAGCGGCCTCCGTAGTCTAGAGGTAACGTTCCCACCTCATGACTCGTAGTACGCGGGTTAAAATACCCGGCGGAGGTCGTCGAATTTTTAAGGGCGGGAAAATTCAGGGAACAAGTCCTCCGGGAGGGACTTTAAGCCGTGGGTCCCGTGTCGTAGCTTTACGGCACGTAAAAGAACCTGATACCTCCGAAGGAGGTTACTGAGCAAAATTGCGGACGTTTCCCGCCCAACAGCAGTCACTAATACCTCCGGTAGATGGGGGAAGCATTATAGATATTTCTCAGCCAGTAGAGAGCCGGTCTCGCTGGCTGGGTGGGACTGATGGTAAGCACCAATACCGGTAGGATATAGAGGCTGGTAGAAATCATAGAGGGAAGCACAATGGACCACTACAGGTCTAAGTGCATGGGGAAACCCACCCTCTCTAATAACTAACTAACTGTCTGAGCTATGGCTCTGTCTGAATTAGTAGTGTTTACGAATAAGAGCAGAGTATGTAACAATGAACGACAGTGGAAGGTATGCTGGAGTCGATATTGCTGTGCGCAACTTTTCCGAGAAAATTTCGTAGTGTTACTCTAGACAGCAACACAGCTCACTACACGTTATTGTTTTATCGTGTTTAGTATCTTAGTAAACATTTTTTCGTCAAGAACTTTTCTAGTCATTAAGGTTAGGTATTCTAAGGGAAGTCTGCTTTTATAGACAAATTTCGTTAGTGCACAAAAACTGTTTTCCTGGTATATTTTATGCTCGAGAATGAATAATGTTATTGATATCCGCAACACCATCCAATTAAAATTTCAGGCCGCTTCTTGCCATTAATGTGAATTTCCTCCAGTTCTCCCTGCTTAGTCTGCCAATTCAATAGATGCCCTTAGCCGAGACAGATTCTGTCGCCCTGCACACACTTACCTGCCGCCACCATCCGCATTGTCATGTGCATTAGCCACTTGTATGCATGTTTCGTGCAGTACGTCCCAAACGCCATTAGGAGGTCGGCATGACCTGAAACACAGCGGACTGAATTCAAACTTTCTCTCATTGTAACTGCTACCATAGTCAAATTAAAAGAACTATGATATTTTAAGTTCTTGGGGAGGTGACAATGATAATTGCTTTCTTTTGGGATTGACGCGCTGTAGTCTTCATCTTCAGGGTAATCCTGAAGACCGAGGGAGTAAGCTCCTCCGAAACATCGATAAACATCTACCAGACCGCTAGGACATCTCAAACGACAGTAATCATTACAACAAAAAATAAAAATCGGTGGCTTTAGTCCGCAAGCGAACTATACCGACCAAGCGACAGCCGGTTGTCGGCGAAGTTAGTGCCAACTTTTAGCGGATAGAGAGTGTCGCGTTGTCAGTGCAAAGAATCCCCACGGCCGTTAATTTCGGTTTTATAGACCGAAGCCTTATTTTTTTCATTCAAGTAGCTCATTTATCTTCACGAGGCTGAGTGGACCCCGTTCCAGACCCACTTCTTTTCAGATAATCTGGTAGCGCCTGGAATTGAATCCGGGACCTCTGGATCTGTAGCCAGGAACTCTGACCACTAGACCCCAGAGGCGGTCACAGTAACCGCTATACCAAGAAAAAATCAGCTGTTGAAAAAGTCAGGGTTCTTGCGAGACTTCCTTAGATTATACTGCAACATCTCTCTCACCTGTACTGTTCGCTCTCGTCTTCCCAAGCCATGAAATCCATAACAATGGAAAAGGAAGGTTTAGGTAGCCGACCCGCAACTCTCCAGAGTGACGGCTTTTTGGACCAACAAGTTGTTTTTAACGGTGGAACCCCATTGCATACGGCACAGTCAGGGTTTTTGAACACCTGCGATAGGACAGTCATCAGCACTGAAGTCTAATAACTTAACCATAGAGCATGGCCGGTCACGGTAGCCGAGCGGTCTAAGGCACGCACTGTCTTCGCTCGCTCGGAAGCCGGGATCGTGGGTTCGAATCCCACTCAGGGCATGGATGTTTGTGTGCGTTTTTCTGTGTTTGCGTACAGGTAGAGGCCTTGCGACGAGCTGATCACCCGCCCAAGGAGTCCTACCGAATGTGTAAGATCTAGAAAAACCGAAGTGAACGGAGAAGTTCATGGAGGTAGGCCTAGGCCCACTGCGGCTGTAGTGCCAAGGAGGGAACCATAGAGCATAGCTTAACCACAAATTTATTCGGAGAATTGGGGCATATTTTCGTAACAGAGCCTTCACGTCCGATTAACCAACCAAGATTATTGCCCTCCAATCTGATGTTTCAAACCAGTGTCGTCTTTGCTATAACAGTTATGCTAGCCTATTTCTAGGTCGTTTTCATAGCATTTTTCATTCCAAGTACAAAATAATTCGATTTTTTAACTTAATGACGTTGTCATTTTCGAGATGACGCTGTGGTGATTAGTGGTAACGATCTAGATTTCTACTTGGGATATGGTTTTTTGAATTTCTACCAGGACATCAGCTATCCTCACTGAGGTTATTAGCGGTCTTGCTCCAGCAGATACCAGGATAGTATCTCCATGAGGTCATGATCGCTCTCTATATGTCTATGGCTCTACAGCCCTTTGTTAGATCTTGGCTGCTTTTTCAGTTTCTTGATCTTTTCCATAGACGGCGAATCAGCCTGTCGCAGGGCCACTACCTACACACAGAATAAAAGCACACAGACATTCTTTCCTCGAGTGGGATTCGCACCCACAATCCCAGTGTTTGAGCGGACAAAAGCAGTACATGTCTTACAGCACGCGAACACTGCGATCGGCAACACACAAGTTTTCTTTTATATCTGCGATTGAACACGGGCTATTGCTACACAAGCCAGTTGCTCTCCCAATGAGTTATCCGTCGTCAGGTCATGGTCGCTAACTTAGAAATAATTTCCAATTCATCATCCTTCAAGTCATCCTACCATTCGAAGTTACATGGTCTAGATACGGATATAATCCAGAAACGCAACGACAATCTCTCAAACAACATAACAATTAAGACATTTTTGATAAGTTTTCTCCTTTTTGCATTCTGCTGTTTCATAAAATCGAGGTTGGGAGCCGTCGGCAAAACAAAGAAATAAATTCGGTTCTAATCAAATCTTACAGCTTATACATATAATTTTAAATATCACACCTCATAATAAAGCATTTACTTTACAGACTCATCATTTAACTTTCTTAAGTGATTACGTTCATCAGTAACCTAAAAGATTAAACTATCAATAGATACCCCATTACTTAGTCGCTAATGTACACATATACGTATATCCTTCCTATTCTACGCTAAACAAGTCCCGTTTTATGTTTCGTCTATGTTACATCAGCCTTTTGCAATTTTCAGAAAATCCACTGTACTTTGTACAGTATTTTTATAAGTGTTTATTATGATATTTCACGTTGTAAAATCCATTTCACTGTGCCACTAAATAATAATGCGAAGAATGTCGTCTTCTTGGTTGTGGCGCCGTGTAGATCTTGTATGGACTGACGTTTCGGAAGAACGTATCGCCGCCATCTTCAGGATAGAAAAATCTATGAGCGAGGAACCAACTTAAGCAGATGGCTGCAGGCTGCATACAAGTTACAGCTTAGTACAAGCTCCACACGGCGCCACATCCCAGAAGACGGCATTCTTCCTAGTCACCGTCGTGAAAACCTCAAATCTCACATAATGATAACGTATTGCGTTTATGTATTTACAAACCACCTGATTATGGTCCATGCAACTGAAACATGACTGAGACAATGAAACTGATTACAGCATTGATATTTTATTGACCTTAATAGAGTTCATTAAAATGTAATTGTAATTGTGTCAAAGTCTCTCATACCTCGACATTCTGAGTTACTCTTGAATTCCACACGCTATAAAACGCATATGCCTTGCATTTCTTGGCTATGTCACTGTCTGTCCAGTCTACGGGACAGTTTTCGATTAGTGGCAGATTTCGGCCTCTTTCATTAACTTTGCCACAAGGGCGTAAGAACCCAGAGAATGCTCCAGGTTGAAGTTCTATCCTCAGTCGGCATTGACTTTCATGTTGCCCATCTAAGGACCAGTGAAGAGGCTCAGTGGAGTATTTGCCTTCACTCAGCACCTGCAATGCCACATTGTAACGGTAAAGCTTTCCTTGTAATAAGGAGCTTCATAACTTGTACTCTTCTCCAAATATAATTAGAATGATCAAGTCAAGGAGGATGAGGTGGGCAGGGCATGTAGCACGAATGGGGAAGACGAGATATGCGTATAGGATATTGGTGGGAAAGCCAGGAGGAAGGATACCACTGGGAAGACCAAGACGTTGGTGGGTGGACAATGTTAAAATGGATCTTAGAGAGATAGGATGGGATGGTATGGATTGGATTGATCTGGCTCAGGATAGGGACCAGTGGAGGGCTTTGTGAACACAGTAATGAACTTTTGGGTTCCATAAAATGCTGGGAAATTCTTGAGTAGCTGCTGAATTGGCGGCTCCTCCAGAAGGGCTCAGCTCCATGAGTAAGTAAGTAAAGTTTTCCCTGTGCTTAACTAATTAAGCACTACGCCATGAAGGCGTAAGGGGGAGTGGATGTAAAGGTGCCATATTGTAAGTTTCACTGATTGCATTAGTCCGTATTGTTGTTTATTTGCATGAAACTTCTCGCCTTTACTGGGTCCTCGGATTTTGTCCAAAGTCTCATATTCTGAAGAACCGAACGTTTCGGGAACTAGATCTGTTTCCGTCCTCAGGTGAGGAAGTGAGAGATACCTACTGTGTTGGATCCATTAGAAAGAGCTAATCTGAATCACTGTACGACCTGTGTCAGCATAGCTACATCCAAATATAGAGAAAAGGATCTGTCAACTTGAGATTACAGGAAAATGTACAGTAAAAATGAACTTGTGTTTATGGATTTGGTTGTTTGTTTGTATTGTCGCATCTCTTTCCACTTCCTTTTCTATCTTAGTTTCAGATCTGTACATGCTTTATCACGCCGGTCACAGTAGCCGCATTGTCTAGGCCACGAACTGTCTTCGCTCGCTCGGACGCTTGAATAGTGGGTTCGAATCCCACTTAAGGCATGGATGTTTGGTGTCTGTATGTGTTTAGTCTCTTTTTGTGTTGTTCTGTGTAGCGGTAGCGGCCTTACAACGAGCTGATCACTCGTCCAAGGAGTCCCACCGCCTGTGAAAAATTATTACGTTGCTGAATAAGAGGCCAGGGACCTGAATGCACTGGAAGAGCCATTGAAAAAGAAAACTTGCATTATCGCAATTTTTATTGCACAGTTGCTTGTTAGCTCCTGTTGACAAACCCTGATCTCAGGTTTACATGTAGCTGTTGTTATGACTAAGGTTGCGCGAAGATTGAAGTTAGCTCTTTTTAACGGACCCAAAAGAGCAGATCTCTCCCACCCCTTCATCTTAATACGAGAACAGATCCAGTTTCTGAAAAGTTGTGTTCAGTACAATACCGAACGATGGACAAAGTCCAAATGCCTAGTAATGCTGAGTGTTAAACACCAACATCAGAACCGTTTGTGAAACTTGGACCCCCACTCTAAGGAAATATTGTGGTTCGAGAGTGTCTTACAATAGATTGATGAGAAGGGTATTTGAACATATATGAGAAATGCTTATAGAATTTTTCTCTGATGAGTAACTGAAGGAAATAGATCATAAACAGAGCCAATGAGAGATCTAGTATGTGGTTTTCAATGCGCTTCTTCTAAATGCTTTTAAAACTGAAGAAATGTGAGATTAAATCAACCTGTTGGAATATTCAAAGCTTTAAGCTTACCTTCTCTCTTGTGTAATTCCCTTCGCATTCAAGGAAATACTTAAGCCGTACTAAATTGTCCGCATCCCCATTGCAGATGGCGCAGTACACGTTCTGGTACCAGGTTCCAGAGGCCGAGCTGAGCACTGGTATATCCATTGTGTAATGGAAGTCAGAGCTGGACCTGTTCAAAGCGGCACACTTCTCCAGCATGTCAGTACTGGCATCAGCAGGACAGCTCACCACCATTCGAACCTGAGTAGATAAGCAAAGTCTGTAGATTTAGTGCAAGTTTCTGCGCCGCATCGTGTCAGATATAACAGCAGAATTATGAATGGCGAATCAGAAATGACGTCATTGTATGACTTATTCTAAGATGCTATCCAGTCACTCGCCTGTGAGACTGACGAAAAACACGAAACCCCTCCGGATAGCCAATCGCTGACTGTAATTCGGAACATATGCCTTTAGAATGTCTCACGTGTTACTACTGCGGCCGAGCGCTGCAGACAACTGCACTGTGAGGTTAGTAACGATTCGCCGTTATTCAGTGAAAGGGACCATTACTATTACACAAAATTTGCTTCCTGTATATCATATGAAGATTTATTAGTAAATCCAGGCGAGCAGCATCCAGCGGCTCCCGCCTTGAAACTCACCTAGGAGGTGGAAGTTCGCTGGTTTGACTCCCAGAGTAACATTCCGTAAAAAAGAGCGATGTAAATAGAAAAATTAAAAAAAAAATTAAGGAATATTTAGGGCGATAAATAGAACATTAACAAGAAGTTCTGGGAAGAACTAATCGCCTACTTTCCTTTGATACGACACGGACCGTACAGAAAACGACGCTTCCGACAATACTTCTATTATTTCGTGTGCATTCATTGCAGCGGTAACGTTCCACCAAGCAACGATAGAGGTGTACGCATACAGACGCACGGAATGGTGGGAGGGATTTATGAAGTACGCCGCTGAGAAAGGCTGAGATGCGATTATGTGCATACAAAATTTCGTAAAGATCGGTTCAGACTTTGAAAAGATAAAGGGGGAGGGATCCACAGACACACAGACAGAACGGCGATCTCATTAGCATAATTTTATTCTAGCCTACTTTCTTAATTTTGAAAAAAAAAAATAAAGCTTAATTTTAAAATAATGACAGGATAAAAACGAAAGTAAAGGGAAAAGAGCATTAATATTTTATAAAGCATTGACAGTTTCCATATTTTTCTATATATCAGTGAAACTTTGACTACAAAAATAAAAAAGTTAGCAAAAGTCAAGCTGCGGAAGTAAAGTACTGAATAAGTGTCGAAAGATAAACCAAATTATATCAAATTAAAAATAATGATATAGGAAAGCATTACATAAATATTAATTCAAATAATGAGTTACAAGTCTGTACAATGAAGTGGTTACATCTCGAAAGATTGGGAAGTGACGAAATTCCATATCTTCTGTATAAATATAATCCAAAGGGACATGTGATAACAGGCAGACCGTTTGAAAGGTTGTCATAAGTCGGAACAGGCTCCAGACCGACACGTGACGAGCAGGACACGAAGAAGTACCGAGAGAAGGCACAAATATCTCAAGACAAACCTCGACATAATATCATGACCGTATATAAATACTGGGGAACCCGCGATTTGTCTAGAAATAAACGTTTCGTTTTAAAATCAAAAGAAATTTGTTTCTTGACATTCATCAATGTTTCATTTCACAGCGATCATATGTTCATATGTCAGTAGATGAATTCAGAAATTATACCATACCCAGAGAGGTTTCAAGTCGATGCAGAAAGAACATTTCAATTATATTGTGGCGTATTGGCTCAAAAGAAAAACTGTAGAGCCAGATAAATAGCCGTTGCCAGGTAATGCTCTCACGCAACAATAGAGGAACTGTCACGAAACGAGGTGTGACGCGTACAGCCGTTGCTACAGAACAATTGAGTAAAAACGTTTCCTCGGAAACGAATGAAAGCAACAATAGAGGAGCTGTGTTTTTTGTCCTGCGGTCCGTGCCAAGGGGTTATAAAAAGGACAAAGAAGTTCGTTTAAGTCAGCTGAGCTTCGAGACACCAGCCTCCCAGGATATGAGCTCGAGAGCAAAGGAGTTGAGTTGGAGATGAGTTAAGTTGAGATGAGTTGAGTTCAGTTGAGTTGAGCTGAGCTGAGTTGAAGCATCAGAATTGAGTGCAGTTCGGTGGAGTTGAAAGTTGATGAAAAGTCTTAGCATTTGCTATTTGCTGCGATATTTGGAGTGTAACACCTGGAAAGCTTCGAAATGTGGTGTTGGAGAAGGATGGAGAAGATCAGTTGGACTGATTATGTGAGAAATGAAGAAGTGTTAATTAGAGTCAGTGAGCAGAAGAATATCCTACACGAAATAAGAAAACGGAAGG